TGTCTAATAGTTTTCAAAATATATATTAATTTATGAATTCTTTTGCTAAGTGTGTTAATATGTTGTTTAAAATTTAAATTACTATCTATTATAACCCCTAGATATTTAATATATTCAACAGGCTCAAGTGAAAGGCAGGAACAGCTGTTATCCCTTGTTAAACAATCATATGAATGAATCACTGAGTTAAAATTTTCAAGGTTGCGAATAGGTTTTCTTAATGAATAAACAATATATTTTGTTTTCGTAATATTGATTGAAAGTTTATTACTGTAAAGCCAATTGGTAACTGCATTTATACCTAATTGTGCAGACGAGAACACATCTTTCCACGTTTCCGCAGCAAATATCAAAACAGTGTCATCTGCATATGAAATTATATGTCCCTGAGAGAGATTAAATTTTGTAAAATTATCAACATAAATAAGAAATAAGGTTGGACCGAGTATACTCCCTTGTGGAACGCCGTGTGTTACTAGTGAATCATTGCTGGTAATATTATTTACACTAACGCATTGATATCTCTCAGAAAGATAACTTTTGAATAGTTTGAGTTGAGTGCCTCTGATACCGACATTTTCCAGTCTTTTTAATAGTATTTTTATTGACACGGTATCGAATGCTTTCGCCAAATCTAAGAAAACAGAAATACACTTTTTTCTACTGTCTCATTTCTATGCAAGACGTATGCATAAATCTTTTTCGTGTGCGAATGCGAATAAAGGCGTCAATTTGTCTATAGGTTTCTCTGTCTACGATTCGAATGAAGGACCGAGTCTATGGTTGAATGATTTAATAACTTTGGTTTGCCATTGTACAAGTACCCGTCATAAATGAGCAGTATAAATACAGAATTATTTAGGGTTACCAGAAGGAAGCTAACAATTATTTATTTGCCTTGAATGTAGATATTTACAATAAGATGTTTACAGAGCACATAAAATATCCGTACATTCTACCATTTTGGCATGCAAATATTAAATTAAAATTTATTTCTTAAGAATACAGTTGATGAAAAAGTCGATTTCTTTAACAGCAACATAATAGGACTGTATAATTAACATGCTCCTAAACGTGTTGTTCGACTGAAGCGTCCTCCTGTTCCATGGATCACGATTGGGGTAAGAATGGCTATGGCTAAACGCGATAGAGCTTTCCGTGCTTTCAAGAAGAATCGCACTGATGTAAAGTGGCAAGCATATAAAGTTGCAATAAATTGATGCAATCAGATGGTGAGAGCTGTTAAACGCCGATATAACCACGAAAAACTACTTAATTAATCTTCGGCTGATATATTGAAAATTCTGAATACGCTTGGATATGGAAAATCGCAATTTGACTATAATAGTGTCACCTTTTCCCCTGACGATTTTAATCGTCATTTTCAGTCTTCTCAAATAGTTTCTGATAATTCTAGAGCTAATGCTATCTCTTTCATATCTTCCACGCCTCCTTATTCTCATGAAACTTTCACTTTTACTCCTGTAGACGAAGACGAGGTACGCAAAGCACTTTCCTCTATTAAATCGAAAGCCGTTGGATGTGATGACGTGAGTAGTTAGAGTAGGACAGTTTGTATGTGCTGGATTCTGTTTTACCCGTGATAACTCATATAATTAACTTTTCGCTGACGAATTGTGCTTTTCCAACTCTCTGGCATAAAGCCTTTATTATTCCCATCCCGAAATCTACTGAATGCAGCTCTTTTCTAATTTCAGACCAATTTCTATCCTGCCTTTTCTTTCCAAGGTTCTGGAAGCTGTTGCTATAAGCAGATTTCTTCTTTTGTTTTCTCAAAGAATATTCTTTCCCCTTATCAGTCTGGTTTCCTCCCGGGTCATTATACAACTACTGCTCTTCTCAAGGTTACGGAAGATATTCGAGAGGGGATGGAAAAATCAAAACTGTACGTTCTCATCTTAATTGATTTTTCTAATGCATATAATTCTCTTGATCATGGTATCTTGTTAGCTCTTCTTTCTCATTTGAATATCTCGTCTTCAGCTCAGGAATGGTTCTGAACATATCTTTGAGGGCGCTAACAGGCTGTGCGTACTGGTCATATACTATCTGACTGGCGTGATGTGTCAATTGGCGTCTCTCAAGGCGGTATTATCTCTCCTCTTCTGTTTTCCATTTTTATAAATCTCATCACACTAAATCTCAAGAGCTATTCAGGAAATTTCTAATTTGATACAGGACTTTAAGTCTGTGACTGTAAGTATGTGATTCCCGAACGATCATCCATAAGCAGACCTAAATTGCGAGTTTCAGTCACATGTTCAATTTGTTCAATATAAAATAAACTTTTATCCTAATTTTTTCACATTTTTTTAAAAGTAACATAGTGGTTATTTTTGGTAACAGAGGTGTTTTCCATACAAATTCACTATGTCCCAGACATTAATACATTGCAAAAAGACGTAGAAAAACTTGCTTTTTTCCTACATTGATATATAAAAAAATTATGATTAATAAATATAGAAATTGTTATTCATGTTCAATGCTTTAAAACAAAATTTTGTTCTAAATTGTTTTCTTTGACTTTTTTAAAATCCCTGTCCCGCGTTCCATGTAATATCACAGCAACACTCTGTTACTATAGTAGTTCACTTTAAAAATACAGATAGCGCTACTATGGCGCCTGCAATAACCTCGGTGCAGTGTCTAAAATTGTTTGAGAAAGTTCGCGGGGGCGGGGGGAACGACTGACACGAATCAGTCGACCGCGCGCTGTGGAAGAAGGAGCGTGTCTTTATTCAACAACCACACTGTTACCAATATTTTCGCGTAAGTAATCAATATTTACTATTACATTTTACATTATCCATGAGTTTTAGGTGTGCATGTCTCAAATATGTAGCAATAATTTCCCTTTATGCCTTATATTATGACTAATTCTGTATGGAATCTAAAATTTACCACTCTATTACTGAACAACTCTGTTACTAGTTGGAAGTAACAGAGTGGTTATTTATCATGGTTCAATCTTATTTCACAAGTTTTATAGTAAAAAATTATTGGTTTCAGGACTTTTACTTGTACTGCTGATCGCTTTTCTATATGGCTTTAATGCCTGCTGAAAAGCAGCGACGTTATAGGGAACGACGCAAAAAGGATCCTGAAAAAGAAGCTGCAAATAAAAGAAAAGACCTCGAAAGATACCATGCAAAGAAACGTTTAGTGAAAAATTTAACGTCACAGGAACACCGAGCAATAAAAAAAAATGGCGAGCTGCAAATGCCAGACGGAGGGACCGGACCAAGGCTCTTCGTGTAGTAATGCATACTCCAGAATCTTCACCGGGAATTATGACTCCACGTTCACGTACTCCAACTCCGCTGGGTCCAAACCAAGTTCTGCCACGAGTTCTACCGTCAAATCGCCGTTTATCAACCCCTCAACTATTGACTCCCCATGAAAGTAGCCCTGGTTCAACGACATCTGCAGCAAAACGGGGCCGGAAACAAGTAAAAAGAAACAGAACAAAACTGTTTAGAGAAAATCAAAGATTAAAAGAAAAAATTGAAAAAATAAATAAAAAATATGAGAAATACAAGAAGAGATATAATAGAGGAAAACAAAAAGGGTCGAAAAATTAAAGCGATGATTGTAAAAGTCAAGATAAGTATAACATATTGGCGAAATATAACTATTAAAAAACGTTATGAAAAAGTTAAAAGTCGGAAAGAAAAGATAGCTATACAAAAAATATTTGAGGAGAAGGAAGTTAAATGTTCTAGAAAGAAAATGCAAATAATAAAAGAGTGCTTGAATGTGGATCAAGGTTACATAAGAAAGAAACAACCAAAGCTGAGGAAAAAAGTTGTAAGTGACAAAATTAAAGATTTTTTTAATCGTGATGATGTATCGAGAGCAACTGCGGGAAAAAAAGAAACCGTTACCCATAAGAAAAATAAAATGCAAAAACGTTACCTACTGGACAGCATGAAGAACCTCTTTTCTTCGTTTAAACGAGAAAATCCTGACATGAAATGCTTCTACACTACTTTTACTCGATGCAGACCGTTTTATGTAATGCTTCCTACTGTTGCTGGAAGAGAAACATGTTTATGTCGATTGCACACAAACGTTCGGTACTTGGCTATTACTTTGTGTAAAAATAAAGTAAATATAATTACAAAATAAATAAAATTACAAAAGAACAAACATGCGATGAAAATTTACTAGCTTGCATGACAGGACTGTGCTCTGAATGTTATTTGAAGAAAATTGAATATGATAGTACAAAGGATGACTTAATAGTAAAGTATATTCAGTGGGAAAGGAAAAATGAAATTGTAGAGAAGCTGGGAAAAAAATACAAAGTTACTAAAAATATAAAAGAAGAAAAGCAGAGTACTGTAAAATCTTTAATAGATGTATTTAAATTTCAACTCCAAGAGTTCAAAAGGCACGTTTATTACATAAAGTCACAATACAGAAACTACAGAGTTTGTATACACGAATTGTTCGAAAATGAAGTAGCATTACATGTTGACTTCAGTGAGAATTATAGCTGTAAATATTTCGAAGAAATACAGGCCCATCATTTTGGAGGTTCACGAAATCAAGCATCTTTACACACTGGAGTCATGTACCTGCGAGGTTCAGATAATAAAATAGAGGTGACATCCTTTTGCACCGTTTCTGGTAATGTAACTCACAATCCAGCTGCAATCTGGGCTCACCTTCATCCCATCTTATCTTATATTCAAGAAAATTATACAGAAGTAAAAATCATACACGTGTTCTCAGATGGGCCTGCCTCACAGTACCGGCAAAAACAAAATTTTTATCTGATTTGCAATAAATTTTTCTCTGAATATAACTTCTATAGAGTAACATGGAATTTTTTCGAGGCAGGGCACGGCAAGGGTGCAGCAGACGGAGTTGGTGGCTTTTTGAAACGCACTGCTGATCAACTTGTCGCACGTGGACAGGATATTGCTGATGCCTCAATGTTCTATTCTGCTTTAAAGGATATTAGTAAAATAAAAATGCATTTTATTACTGACGAAGCTATTAATATATGGTCCATAGAGATTCCAGACAATGTTTTACCATTATCTGGCACCATGAAAGTCCACCAGGTGTTCACTGAAGAGAAAGGAGTTCTCAAATATAGAGACTTGAGCTGTTTCTGCAGGCGCGGCTTTTGTTCTTGCATGGATCCCAAAGAATACCGTCCACTAAAACCCGTGGATGAAAAATCGAGCTCTGATGAATGTGAACCAGATTTTATGAAAGAAATAGGCAACTTAGTCCATCCACAAAGAAACCCATTCTATAACACTGTCTACAGTTCTGACACTGATGATATCCCTTTATTAACAGTGAAGGACAACTTTTCACTTGAACAACCCAGTACATCAGTGTGTGCGTGTTAGTCAAAGTTTCAATCCTGAAGCAAGACTACATTTATTTGGGAAAAGTGCATATCGAGTGACGTACAGTTTCGTGGTCACTTGCAAGAGAAGGCCAAATTGGCCTCTAAAAAGCTTGGCGTGCTCAGCAGAGCGGGACAGTATTTCATGCCGGCACACCGCCTGCAACTTTACAAGGCGCAGGTTCGGCCGCACATGGAATACTGTTCCCATCTCTGGGCTGAGGCTCCCCAGTACCAGCTGAGCGAAGTAGAAGATGATGGCGAGGTAAAAATTATGTTTTTCAGATCTATGGACGATACTGCAAAAATTTAGACTGATTGAGACTGATGAGTCTTACGAGCCTTTTGAAAATTTAATTGCAATCGTCTCAGAACCAAAAAAAGTATACAAAGACAAAAGAGTATACTACAAGTTTGACTCTCCATTAGAAATATTTGAGAAGTAGTGTTGATCTCATTGTGATAAATATGATCTCATAATTATTTTTATCTGTTAGTTTTTGGAATTGCTTAGTTATAAGAATATCATTAGCGTGGTCTCATGTAAGAATTTTAAATGATAAGCTCAAGTTTTTACGCTAGGCGTAGTACAAAAACAACTATTTTTTAGGTAAACTAGACCTCAAAATATTTTAAATGGGCTATGAGCCAGTTAATAATATTTGTAGTTTTCAAAATAGCATTATAAGATGTTAAAAGTATAATTTCCAGAGACTAGTAAAAAAATACAGTTTGTTAATGTATCAAAAGTAACAGAGTTGTTTAAGAATTTATTTAAATAAATATTAGGAATAGTTTGAAGCATGATTCTGCATGTTTTCAAAATATTTTAGACTATAATTAACAATAATGCCAAACAACTTGTGATTCATGTGTTCGTTATAAAAATAAAAGAAAATTTTCATTGGTAACAGAGTAGTATTTAATTTCGCCTCCAACGATAAAGTCTGAAAAAAAAACCTCAAAATTCCTAAAAAAACATCGTGAATAACAACAGTACATTAAAATTCAATGTATATAATAGTCAAATATAAATGAAAAAATGATATAGCAATAGTTTTAAGAAAAAATCTTTTTTAAAGATTTTTTCTTAAAACTACTGAAGAAAAACCTGCACAAAATTTGAAATTGGCCCATTAAACAAATAGCATAATACACACAATTAATTAACTTTATTTAAGTATGGGTATCATTTAAAAAATCCGATATTGCGTAATAACAATCGTCGACGACCGAGTGCTTTCCGATCGGCTCGATTTACTGGCACTGCGAAGAGATGTTGCATCTCTTTGCATTTTCTTTCGCATCTACCATGGAGAGTGCTCTGAGGAATTGTTCGGATTAATCCCAGCCGCCAAATTTCGTGAACGCACTACGCGGCTAACGTACCGATACCATCCACACCATCTGGATGCTTGGCGGTCCACCACTGTACGTTTCAAGAGGAGTTTTCTTCCGCGTAAAACCTCTCTGTGGAATAGTTTACCACCAGCGATTTTTCCGAACCGATACGACCTGGGGACCTTCAAGAAAAGAGCGTACTCCTTTCTTAAGGGCCGGCAACGCACCTGCAATTCCCCTGGTGTTGCAGTTGATCATGGGCGGCGGTAGTCACTTAACATCAGGTGAGCCGCATGCTCGTTTGCCCCCTCTTCTATAATAAACATAACACCTGTACAATAGTAAAGAAGTAAGACTCTTTTAAAATATTCTTATGGGTTGGTTTTTTACATAATTAGGGATTGTGGATTGAATTTGGAATATTTTGTTGGAGCAAGTTATATTTAAAGGTAAATTTGTATTTAAGTTTGATGAATTTTAGTAAGCCATTTTAAAAAGAAAAACCAAGTAAGTAATGTCTTTTGTACTTAAAGAATGAAAAGAGATTTTCAAAGCATAGAATCAACAAGTGTAGGAAACACTAAGTCATATATTATACATATGGCCATAAAATTTCAAACACACAAAAGATCTTTAAAGAGACTAAGATAAGAAAAACTGTTAAGTATAATGCTTTTGCGGTTGTGATTTAGTCTCGTATTATAAATTCATTGTGTATTTAAAGTGCGGTACTTTTCACAAAGAGGTTTTGCATAAAAGATATAAAAAATACACCAGGTCAGCGTCTCGACTATGTAAATCATTCGCTTTCCAGATGAAAAAGAAATTTTTTGTGAATAACATTAATAGAGATAGAGAAATATAAAAATATTTCTGATATTCTTAATAGATCTATCGATATCTAGGTAACTAAATGGAATTGATTAAAGTTTGATATGTTTTCAGTATTATTTTGTGATCTGTTTTCTTTTCTTTGACATGGTATGATGAGTAATAGAAAAATAAAGATTGTTACAAGTTCGCTACGATGGCACAAATATAAAACATTAGGTTTGTAGCTTAGAATAAGAAAGTACTGTTGTAACCCCTAATATAAGGTTTGCAATGAGTGCATGTTGTATATTGATATGTATCCTAATAAGTAGCATCAAAATATAGAAACACAATTTATAGAGGTTGTCATTGTTTACGTATTCGGCGAAACATACTTAATGAAACTATTATCGAATAATTACGATCTTAATGATGTAACAAATGATGATATTGCCACTTTCGAACAATCAATACTTACCAATCTTATACGTGGTAGGGACACACTGCAGTTACATTTATTATAGTTGTACCAAGAATGGGTCGGCTCGAACGGGACATCACAGAATACCAGCGTAAAATAGCAGCTTAATGCTGCTGTGTTTCATATGGTTAGTGAATAGAACCGGAAACCCTTTTTACTGGAAACGAAGCATTCCATCTTAGTCCTCAGGGTTGACAACGCATCTGCATTTTGATTTTTTTTTATAGAAGATGTTAAGTGACTACCGCCGCTCATGGTCAACCGCAACACCAGGGGAATTGCAGGTGCGTTGCCGGACCTTTAGAAAGGAGTAAGCTCTTTTCTTGAAGGTCTCCAGGTCGTATCGGTCTGGAAAAATCGCCGGTGGTAAACTATTCCACAGAGAAGTCGTACGCGGAACAAAACTCCTTTTGAAACGTACTGTGGTGGGGAGCGCCAAGCATCCAGATGGTGTGGATGGTATCGGGATGTTTACCGCGTAGTGCGTTCACGAAATCTGGCGGCTGGGATTAATCCGAAAAATTTCTCAGAGCACTCCCCATGGTATAAGCAAAAGAAAATGTGCGTGTGAGTGAATCCAGCCGATTGGAAAGCACTCGGTCGTTGACGATTCGAGCCGCTCTGCGCTGGATGCGGTCAAGTGGAAGGAGCTGGTACTGGGGAGCCCCAGCCCAGAGATGGGAACTGTATTCCATGTGCGGCCGAACCTGCACCTTGTAAAGTTGCAGGCGGTTTGCCGGCATGAAATACTGTCCCGCTCTGCTGAGCACGCCAAGCTGTTTAGAGGCTAATTTGGCCTTCTCTTGCAAGTGACCACGAAACTGTACGTCACTCGATATGTCGACGCCGAGGATACTGATACTGGCTGAGGCAACAAGGGGAGTGCGTTGAAACTGAGGAGATACGACAAAGGGATTCTTTTTAGCGGTTAAAGCGCAAACTTGTGTCTTCTGGGGGTTAAACTGGACTAGTTTTAGTCGCCTCCAATGCGAGACTCTGTTCAGCAAAGACTCGAATTCATACATAAGTTTGTCCTGGTACTCAGAGACATTTTCCCGAGATTATTCTCAATCGAGGATACATGTAGATGTCCATGGGTCACAGAATCCATTTACCATCAGGTGGACTGTATACTCGTTTTTCACTGTTATTCTATTAAAAAATCCAAATATTCAAGAGCTAACTTGTACATAAATTTTTTTTTGGTGATAAACTAGGTTACAGCCCCGATGGAAAATGACTCCTGCAGCCCAGAGAAGACAGCAAGCAACTTCGAATAAAAACGCTACGGTTGCCTCTGAGGACTAGAGATGGAATACCTCATCATGTTATTTTAGTGGCTCTATATGCTATTCAGAACAGAACATAACACTGCATACATTGCTAATTGGCGGAAAAAATGGTTATGATTGTAGTACATAGACAGACTACCAGATAGAAAAGTGGTCACACCATCCCGTGATAGATCTAGATATGTATTAAAAAATACAAGTAAATCTATTGCAAAATGAATATCAATTTAAAAAATAATCACTATTTTAATATAAATAAAATGTCGGGAATGGAAAATATCTTTTTAATAAACTATAACAGGAGGAATATTTTCTCTGGTTCAGACATAACACAGAGACATAGCATAAAGGGATTTGCTAAAAATATAAAAATAATGGAAAAGGCTCCCTCGATAAAGTTTTGTAGAAATAAAACAACAAAGCTACCGATTTATTAAAACGAATAGGATTCCATTGTAAGACACTTGTAATAAATTCATGTATTTTTTCCTTTAAACACAAGAAAAACCATATCATATGGTTAAATAGGAAATATTTGTTAATGAAACGATTCCTAATTATTTTTGTATTAAATTATGAACCGATGTGTTGTAATTTTCTTGGTTTTAAATAATATTTTTGTTAAAAACAGATTATGATAAATGATAATTGGATGAATTCTCTAGCAAATAAATCTTTGCAAAATGATCATCTTTACTAATTTTAAAACATCTAAATAAATGTATGTTAGGTAAGGTTAGAAGCAAATTGCCACAACATAGTTGCTTCATTTTATACTTTTTACCCTTAAACTACGCTGTTTTTACTATTTCATTATTTAACTCCGTGCCTGCTTCTCACGGGTGATTTCTGGATCTCCAGCTACCGGGTTAAATTTTGAATTTAAACCGTCTAGGGACCTATTTAAAAACACACAAAAAATTCATCAGAATCGGTCCAGCCAGTTTTATCGAGATTAACGGGCATCAAGTGATTTTTATTTAAAGAGATTAAGGTAATGTTGGCTTTGATTTAAGCTTTGATAAAAACAGTAAACGTCCGACTGCGTTAAGTATTAACGTGCATCCTTTTCCT